TGTATCTGGGCATAAACTATTGTGATACGTTTGTTAGTCTTTAAGGAGCCACAGGACTCCTCGTTGTCAATGCCATATAGTGATTTTATAGGTTTACTTACAGCAACGCTAGACATTTATCATAGATTTTAAGGGCTAGAAAGGACAATGAGATCATTTAGTCTGACTGTATAACTCAGGTCACAGTCCTATACAGTTATCCTCGGTATTAAGCCCATTAACTTGCATTTTATTAAGTGTATCTTCCGGAGAGCCATCGGGTCTTGATTTCACAGCCGCTCTAGCTGGATAAACCGTCACTTCCCATGGTCGTTCATTCCAGCCGTTAACCACCCTCCCTGTTGAAAATGTGAGCCTCGTGACTAATCTGAATTGGGATAGTTTTACTTTGAGTATCACGATATAGTGTTCGTTAGAACTGGGGGGAGAGGGGAGTTGGACCAAAATCCTTTTTTTCTGAGCAACGCAGATTTGGGTTAACAGAAATATTTTATGAATCTGTGTCAAATGAGCTGGATTGTTTTGCTTTGATCTAAAACCTCAGAAAAATCGAAAAGGTGTAAATATTTTAAGTTTCCCATTTAAAAGACTTTTTGTTTCAAAATTTACTTCAATTTTATTAAAAAATATAACAATTGCAAAAACTGCAACTGATCAAACAAAACATTTCATTCAACTTGTCAGTCAGCCAAAAAAATGGAAATTTTTGAAAAAAAAATCAGTTTGGGTCAACCAGAACCTAAAGTTTCTCATTTATGTTTCAGACTAGCCAGCAAACCAAGAAATCAGTTATTCACAGAGTTCTTTTGATCATACACTTTTTTTCTCATCATTGCTATATACTGATTAGCCCTATTCTCACCACTGCCACAATTCTATTGCTTTAGGGCTGGTCGACACGGAAACTGACTCTACGGCTATTTAATGTAACTCCCTATATGGCCTTTGGGCTTGTCTTCACTACCGCCCGGATCGGCGGGTAGAAATCGATCTCTCGGGGATCGATTTATCGCGTCTTGTCGGGATGCGACAATCGATCCCCAAATCGACGCGCGTACTCCACCAGCCAAGGTAGGAGTAAGCGCCGTCGACGGGGGAGCTGCGGCAATCGATTTGCCGCCGTCCTCACAGCGGGGCAAGTCAGATCAGATACGTCGAATTCAGCTACGCTATCCCCGTAGCTGAATTTGTGTATCTGAAATCGATTGCCCCCCCCCCCCGTAGTGTAGCCGTAGCCAAATAAGAATGCCATTTTCTGGTTTAGTTTAAGCCAGTAAATTAAGAGTGTCCATACCAGGATAGCTCTAGTGCCTTAAATTCACATATTATCCTGCTCAGGAATAGCTTCCCAATGCAAACAAGCCTGTTCTCAACAACACTGATTTAGAGCTTTACTTTCACCCCTCCATGCAGAGGTGGGACACTGAACAGCAAGGTTTAGCAGTGGGGAAATGAATTTATTTGATGTTTTTCCATCCCGAAGAACCCAAAACAATTGGGCAACCATTCTGGTGTAGCTGAATATGCACTTTTCTCTGAAAAAAAGTTTCTGCCAAAGAATTTTGGCCAGCTGTAGTTAGGATACTTTCTACCCCATGGAAATGCCTTACACTTAAACTCTGCTAGGTAGACTTGAGCCAAGGGATAATAGAGTTTAGCCCATTGTGATTAATGGTGAGGGGACATAAATCCACTGAAGCACACTCAGACACAACTTCCTCCGGGAATCAAGAGTTGACCCGCTACCCAACCCCATTCACGGGGGTTCTTTTTATCTTGCATTAATAAAGTTTCAATGAAAAATATTAGAGCACAATATTGGATCAATCATAGAATCATAGGACTGGAAGGGACCTCGAGAGGTCAGAAGTCCAGTCCCCTGCACTCATGGCAGGACAAAGCACCATCTAGAACATCCCTGACAGATGTTTGTCTAACCTGCTCTTAAAAATCTCCAATGATGGAGATTCCGCAAACTCCCTAAGCAATTTATTCCAGTGGTTAACCACCAGGACAGTTAGGAAATTTTTCCTAATGTCCAACCTAAACCTCCTGAATATAAACTGTTGAGGAAGGACAGACAGGGCAGAAAAGGTGGGGGAGTTGCATTGTATGTAAGAGAGGAGTGTGACTGCTCAGAGCTCAGGTATGAGACTGCAGAAAAACCTAAGAGTCTCTGGATTAAGTTTAGAAGTGTGAGCAACAAGGGTGATGTCGTGGTT